CGGGCGCTCGCCGGGCGCCGGGCGCTGCAGCCTTGGCTAAAACCCGCGGCCGCGACCACGGAGCGCGCAGCCCGAAGCTAGTGATGTCATCCGTGCAACGTGAGCCTCATCTCTTATTTTTCTCGGCTCCTTAAAGGTAAACGGCACCATTTCCCAGGCCCACCAGGGCCTGGCAGTGTGCTCGGAGCGGGCAAGTCAATGGTGCGCGGCTAGGTGTGTGCCCGCCGCATCCATATTCATGCACATATACATATGTGTGGCATGTAGCATGTTCCCGGGCCACCTTATAAATGCGGGCGCTCCCTGCCTCTCTCTCCAACAGTGGAAAATTCCCGAACCGGCCCCGGCTCTGGTGCACACGCCCTGCTGGACGCGGGGCCATCACTCCGAGGGGCGCGACCCTGCTGGGCCGCAGGTGGCCTGGGTGGGTGTCCCGGATCTTTGTTTCCCCCGGGAAGCCGCGGGCGTCACCGTGTCGGCGACGGGCGCTTCCAGCCGGGACTGAGCGCGTCCTCAGGGCGACCACCCAGTCACCCGGGCGGCACCCCCTCCAGCTGCCCCCGCCCCAGGAAGAGAGCCAGGAATGGGGCCCAGCAGGCAGAGGGAAGGAGAGTGTCGGGTCGGGGTGGGGTGGGGGATCGCGGAGGCAGGTAATAGAGATTGTGAAAACGTTCCAGTGGGGGGACTCGGAGCCTGGATGTGGGCATGTGGGTTTGTGCCTCTCGGAGGGCGGCGGCTGGATCTCGGATCGGGGGGCGGGGGAGGGGGCCTAGGAGAAAGGGTGCACGACTCCAGACCCTAAGCGGGCGGACCCGGGCGCGCTCCGCTCATCCGCCACCAGCACCCACCCTCCACTCGCCTTCTCTCAAGTGAACCTGCACCTCCCTCCCAGGTTCAAACCCTGGGCCGGTTCCCCCGCTGCCCACACCTCACTGTCACCCTCTCCCCAAAGCCGCGAGCCGCGCCGCGGTGGTGGGGAGGGGCACAGCGAGGGCCGGCACCCCGCTTTGCAGCGTGGAGCTTGGGAAGCAGACGCGCGCATCTCCACCATGTTCTTTGTGTCTCTGGCTCCCGCAGCCTTTGGAGAGGCGCGAGTGAGGCGCGCCAGTGCCACCTAGAGGGGGAGGGGGCGCGCCGCTCCTCGGCCGACTCGCCCTGGGCATGGCGCGGCCGCGGGCCTGGAGGAGGCCACAGGGCCTGGCCTGGCTGGTGCCGCCACAGCTGCGGGCACGTGCCCTCGGCCAGCTTCCTACCCTCAGGGCCCGGTAGGACGAGGTGACGCCAGGGCCTTCTCCCCTCTTCTGACCGCGACTCCCACGCTCACAGCTGGACACAGCCCTCCATGCCCAGGCTGTCTTCTCTCAAGTCCAGAGCACCATCCACCAGGGCACCCAGGAAGCTAGCAACACTGGTCAGTGTCCTGATGCCCGTCCCTGCCCACCTGACCTGCAACAGTCTCCACTTGCTTGCTATTTTCTGCTGCCCTCCCCTTCCCTCCCCTCCCTCTCCCTCCACCCCCTACCACCACCACCCTCTCTCTCATGTTCCCATGTGCCTCGGATGTGCTCCAAGAGATGTGCCCCACCCTCACCTTGCCCCTCTGCAGCCCTGTGAAGCTCACCCACCAGGCCTGAGAATAGATGTCTTCTCTGCACATCTTTGACATTCTATCTGGAATGCCTCAGTGGACCCTCAGATATCTATGCACTGCCAGGCTTCGCAGCCCCTGGACACAGTCTCCTGGGCTGCTCCGTACTATTTGGGAGCCTGTGGGGTGGGGAGGCCACCCTGGTCCTGAAGACTAAGAAGACGGTGGATTCTTCCTCTAGCCCATGTCCTAGTTATCTGGTGTTTCTCCAACAGACATACCACAAGTGGGTGACCTGGATAGACAGAAATGCATTCTCTCCCAGTGGAGGCTAGAAGTCCACATTCGGGGTGCCGGCTGTAGGAAGGTGTCCCCTCTCTGTCTGCTCTTGGAGAGAGGTCTTTGTTTCCTCACAGCAGCTGTGGGTCCCTTGGGGATCTCCATGTGTCTCGGCCTCAGGCTCATCCCTGATCTCCTCCTGAGTCTGGGAGGTTCCCAGCACAGGGACCCTGGGTCCAAAGGGCACAGTCGACTCACCACTCTTCCTTCTCAGTGGCATGGGGGTTCCCCCTCTCTACTCACCCCTCTCTCCTTTTCTTTTCTAAAGTAAAAGGTAGCGCAGGTCAGATCCCAGGGAAACTCCCCGTGTATCAGATCAGGGATCAGATCATGGCTGATCACCTGAGATCGCATTGTGGGGATGATCATATCATTACATAATGGCCACATTTCATCCTCGCAGGACTGAGAACCCACTGAGAATCAAGGCCCAGCTGAGTTGACTAGATTTTTCTTTGTTTGTTTTGGGAGGAGGGGGACACCATCAATCGTGACACTCCATGACTACACGAGTTTTGTCCAACTCCCCCCACTAAGTTACCTATTTCACCACTGTCTCTGGGTCTCCACCTGTCCCTTTGTGTTCACACCAACACTGTCCTGGGGCTTCACAGTCTGGCAACTGAGGGGACTTGAGCTCAACCACGTGATCATGCAGGAGCTCCTCCTACCCCGTGTCCCCAGATGTGACTGAGCAGCTTCTGCTGGCTCACTTGCAGTGATGGGCAATTCTTGTCTCTCTGAGCAGCCTGCTCCACAACTGGATGACAGACATGCTTAGACAGATAGATCTTCCTGAGGTCCCCATGACTCCTATCCAGTGGTCTGTGTTTGCCTTCTAGAGGCGCAGAGAGCATAGCCGATGCCTCTTCCATACAATGGTCCTTCTAAGACTTGGCATAAGCCATCGCATCTTCTTTCCCCAAGCCCCAAATTCCCTTGGGCTTACTCTGCCCTGATCCCTGGTGCCTCCTGGTGTTAGCACCTCCCTGATTTACTTCTTGGATCACCGGCCATGTAAACCTGTGAAGGACGTCTGGTCCTCTGCCCCCCCCCACCTCACCCCCAGTTTTGTTAGCATGTAATCCATGTCACATACAATTCAGCAGTTCAAGTATATCGAGCAGAGTTGTACAGCCATCACCACAATCAGCGTTAGAACATTTTCTTCTTTCTTCTACTCATCATTATCCGCTCCCTATACTCCAAACCTCCCCTGCCATGCATCCAAGGAACCAATCGTTTTATCTGTAGACTTGCCTACCATGGATTTCATATACAGAAAAACATCAAAAAGCAAACAAACAAAACTAACAAGTAAATAACAAAGTAAGCAAATAAAATCAGATTAAAACCTCAAGTGAAATTCACCTTCCATTCAGCTCTCAGCATGATAGTGGGACAGGAGAAAAGTCAAAGAAAATAGAGGAAAGGAGTAGGAGACAAAAGCTATTTATAAAGGCATAGCTATAGGCACCTATATATATGTAAATATAATAATTTATAATGAAAGGGATAGAGGCCAATGCACATATATTTATATGTTAAATATTAAGATAGCAGACAGACTTTGGGCCTGTACTCAAGGCCTCCCTAAACACAAGAACACTTTGTTCTAATAACCTGGCACTCTTAGATACACAACGTCTCGACAGGATTGCTGAAGACAAAGTGGGTGCATAAGCAAATGTGTTGAAGAAAGCAGATGGTGCCCAGCTATAAAAAAATATAGCATCTGGTGTCTTAAAGGCCTGAAGTTAAGCAAGCGGCCATCTAGCAGGGAAGCAACAAATCCCACATAGAAGAAGCATACCAGCCTGTGTGATCATGAGGTGTCAACGGGATCAGGGAATCAGGTATCAAAAGATTCAAAACAAACAATATCGATGTGAAAGAGGGGAGTTGGAGTGTAGACCTATGGTAGTTCCATAATCTGTTGTCAATTTGAGACTGAAGA